TTTCCTGTTTCCATTATTCACCACATTACATTTCAGCAAATCTAAAATAAATACATTTCTCCACTAGGGGAAAATACTTTTAGTGAGCAATTACAATGGTGCTCCTTTATAAAATTAGCCCCGAAAGATATGATCATTGATAATTTACACTCTACCTTCTTACAAAATGTATTTAAACTGGATATAGGACTTCAACCTTTCTGACACCAACTGCAGCTTTTCTAATGGGTTATAGGTTTGTAGAAAGGGACTACAGATATCCACATTGTTGTAGGTTAGTTTAAACTCACAATTTAATTAGCCAAGGATACAAAATCTTAATTAGAAGCCAGATGGCCCCAAGAGGCAAGTACAGATACAGTCTATCTCAGCATAGCTTCCTTTGACCCCCATCAAGGGTGCAAAGAAAAGGCCTCTGGGAAAAAAAAATTGAGCTCAATTTTGGGCACTGCCATTGCCCTTTTATACTTGAGGCTCATATCAAAATTTTAGGAGAACTTTCTCTATTAACCTATATTTAAGGGAATAATTGTAAACATTTTTAAGCCAAATTCAGAATCAGCAAGATTATATGATTATTGGGTTGGGGAGTTGGGGAAAAGCTGATTCGGTTCCCAGGTATCATTGAGCCATGTGTCTCTCTGCCTTCAGCTGTCCAACATTTTGGAAAGCCCATATTCTCTCAGTCTACCCCCTTGACTCTGTTTTAATACCTTTTTATCAGGTTGGTTCTGACACTAAGTTTGATCTGAAATCACAATTAGAAGTCATGCGTTCAGGAAATATTTCTTTAACATAGATACCTGGCACTATTCTAGACATTGAGCATTCATCAGTGAGCAAAACAGAAAAGAATCCCTTCCTTTGTGTATTTTCTACTAGGGAGAGATATAATAAATATAAGACGTGTAAGAGCTGAATCAATACATTTCTGTTGGTTAAGCCAACAACAACAAAAAAAGAATTATAATATGCCAGAAGAGAAGTGCTATGGAGAAAAATAAAGGAGAGAAAGATAGGAAATACTGGGATTTTGATATATAATTATATTCTGAAGAATATGGTTGTACTCTTATTTTATTCTATCCTGTATAAATGACTTGTGTTCAATGTCCAGTATCGTTTTTTGTCCTGAATGCCAAGTACCTCTTGTGTGAAGCAGGTGACACTCCTTTGTTGCCCACCAGAGAGCAGACTTGGCTATCCAAAACTCACTACTAGTTTTATACCTTTGGGAATAGAGAATGTTATTTTAGGCAGAGTCTCTTATCAGTAAAATATAGTATCAGGGCCCTAGAGATTATACTTTGGAGAATTTTTTAAAAATTGGAACTCATATAACTAGCTGTTGTTATTTGGCACAGAGCCAAATACTCCTTCCAAAGTATTACAGACTGACTTAAATGTGAATGACTGGATAATTTATAGTCATGGTGTACTCGCTTCGGCAGCGAGTTCCTTGGTGCTAAAATTGGAACAATACAGACAAGATTAGCATGGTCCCTGCGCAAGGATGACACACAAATTCATGAAGCATTCCATATTTTTTAAATAAAAAAAATGTATAGTCATGGTAAACAAATATTATATATAAAACAAAGCAACATGTCTCAAGTTAACAGAGTTTTACTAGAATCTAAGAGAAAGAAGTGTCACCCTTATCCTCGTTTATGCCTTAAACATATCTTTGATAAAATTCAGATTTATAAGACATATGCAATAGGGCATAGTATTGTCTTACAAAAGGATTCACCATATAATTCATTTAGATAGCAGAAATGCAGATTTCTTCTAGTGCATTTTTTAGAAGGAGGAACTTAACTCTTTTTACCTCAGATAGGGAGTCAAATACTTAATAAGGTATTCTGTAAATTATAGTGTAAAACATTCATATTTATCTTTAGAGTATGCTTAAAACTAAACAGAATTTCACTTAGTTGTCTTAATCTTCACTGGGCCTGAACTTAGCCTGCCCCCTTTTTTGGCCAGGGCCTTGCTGAGCTAGATTCACCACCCTTAGATAGCTGAGACTTAATCAAAATGATTCCACTGATATGTACATACATGTGTGACAACAAATTGCTAGTTGAAAGTATACATCATTTAAGTCTATAAAACCTTCATAATCTAAGTGTGTACTAACTAAACACCTTCATTATCTTGACCATAGTTACCAGTGGCAATGTCTTCCTCATAATGACAGATTCCTAAAGTTGACATTTGTAGCCTTGGTGCTGAGCAAATACAAAATGACTTTCTATTCCGTGTGAATCTCAAACAGCTCATTAATCCATGGCTAGAGTAACTCAATTAGAATTGTTTATATGATGCCCTGCCTCTTCTTTTCTGTGCTAGAAACGAACCTGCAAATGATACAACATGAAAAGAGAGGTAAGGACCAGCTGTTTAGGCTTATAAAACAGACAGTAAATCCTAGTAAAGGAAGGTTCTCTCTTGGAAAACAGAAAAAAAACAAATGACAGGCAAGCGTAACCTCTTCTGTAAGTTAACCTGGTTCTGTTAAGATAGTAGAATCACAGCAATAAAGAACAGATTCCTCATGCCCACGGCAATATGAGTGAATCTCACAGACATTATGTGAACCAAAGGAAGCCAAACACAAAAGAGAATATGCTCTGTGATTCTATACACATGAAGTTAAAGAATGGGCAAAATTAATAAATGGTTATAGAAGTCTAAATGGTGGTTATCTTGGGGAAATTGTGGGTTATTACCTAAAAAGGGGGCTAGAGAACCTCCAGAACTCTGGAAATGTTCTATATATTTATCTGAATGGTGGTTACATGGGTGTATACATGTTTTTTAAAAATTGAATTGTATACTTAAGATTAGTCCACTTACTGAACATATGTTATATCTAAGTAAAAGAGTAAGAAAAAGAAATTAGAGGGCCGGGCGCGGTGGCTCACGCCTGTAATCCTAGCTCTCTGGGAGGCCGAGGCGGGCGGATTGCTCAAGGTCAGGAGTTCAAAACCAGCCTGAGCAAGAGCGAGACCCCGTCTCTACTATAAATAGAAAGAAATTAATTGGCCAACTGATATGTATATAAAAAAAATTAGCCGGGCATGGTGGCGCATGCCTGTAGTCCCAGCTACTCGAGAGGCTGAGGCAGAAGGATCGCTCGAGCCCAGGAGTTTGAGGTTGCTGTGAGCTAGGCTGACGCCACGGCACTCACTCTAGCCTGGACAACAAAGCGAGACTCTGTCTCAAAAAAAAAAAAAAAAAAAAAAAAAAGAAATTAGGTCACAGAGTTTGGATTTGTTGTGAGAAGTAATAGGTAAGCATTATTGGATCTTCAACAGGGAAGTGATTTGAAGAAAGTGGTACTTCTAAAATTATATATCCTGTGGTGATATGGAGAATAGAAGAATGTTCAGATCAGCTGGTATATCCAGATCCTGTGCCCGGCACTGTGCTTGATGCTGTAGGGAACACAAAATAACTATGACCTGGGTCCCTACCCTTAAGAAGATTATAACGTTTTGTGGGAGATACGTTTTATGAAATGGTAAATTCATGGTGTTTTGGAACTAGCACTGAAGTCAATCCTGAGTTCAAATTCTAATTCTGCCATTTTCTGACTTCAGGTGAGTTATTTCCCTGAACCTTGGTTTCCTTATCTATAAAATGAAGGTAGTATCTTTGTTGAGAGGATTAAGAGATATGGTAGTCAAAGGATTATAGTACAGTACTGTAAATTTTCCCTTTTTAACAAGGGAAAATAGCCAAGGAACAATACTTTGGGTGGGCAGGCAGCATGTGATGTGACTTTAGTTCAGACTGTGGTCTGCCACTTAGTGGCTATGTGATCTTTTAAATAAGTTACCTAATTTCTTAATTTCTTTGAGTCTCAATCTCTTTTGGGAGTGGGAAAAAAGGGGGGGCAGGGAGAATTACTCCTTGAGAGATTGTTATGAGAATTAAGTGAACTTAGCAGATACATGGTACCTAGCACAAAATAGGCACACTTAATAAATGTATTTCTCTTTAAGGTAATAGCATATATAAATGTATGATGCAAATAATGTAGATAATAGATGCTGAGATTAGAAGACTGGTAGAGAAGAAAGAGGCAGATCATAGTGTAATTTTTTTTTTAAGACATAAGGAAATTTGATATAGAGGAGGAAGTACTTTCTATATTCTGATCTTGTAGAAGGTATATCTTTCTACTTTTATTTTTGTATTTCTATAAAATGAAAATAATATACAATATATCCTTGGATTGTAATGATGTTAACCTGAAGATACTGCAAGGTCATTAAAAAATATGTTACTCTCTCACAACCCCCCAAAAATGATACATTACTATTAAAGTTACTTCTCTTCAAAATTTGAGGTTACAATGAGCTGTAATCACACCACTGCACTTCAGCCTAGGCAACAGAGGGAGACCTTGTCTCTAAAAAAAAAAAAAGTTACTCCTCTTCTAATAATACTTTTAACAGGCATTGTCATCCAAGCTCCAACTGAAAAGTTAAGGGCTTTTCTATAAGTAGAGACCCTTGTCACAATCAAAGGAAAACCTCAGTGCGTAAAGGGAAGGAGAAATCCATTTAAAATATTATAAAATAAATATATATTTATAAATATTATAAAATAAAATCCATTATAAAATATGTCATTATTTGTTACATGAAAAATTATCATCAAAGTAGCAACCCAATCTTGTTGGGTATCGATGGTAGGCAATTTCTTGGCTAAGGAAATTTAATTTGCAGAACAAGTACTAAGTTAATGAAATATTAACATTTCCGAATTGCATTGTTCACATTGTTTATTTGAGAACTCACGAGTTGACTGATATCAAATCCTGGATAGCAGCTTTCCAATTTGTGAAACAGTATTAGATTTCTTGTGAAATTTCTGTCTTTAATTTAGCCACTAACTTCTGGTGTTTCCCAAGCTTAAGGAAAATGAAGAGGTAAGAAATAACACTTCCCTAGTCATTGCTCATCTATCCTTGTTCTCTCTTCCAGATATTGCGAGTGGTGTGCATCTGTTTGGGTAATCCACCAGAGACATTCACCTGGGAGTACCGAGACAAAGATAAAAATTATCACAGAATTGGCCCCATAACACCCTTGGAGTTTTACAGGGAACATGTCAAGCCACTCTTCAATATGGAAGATAAGGTTGGAGACTAGCACTGACAGCTGCTGGCTGTTTACTTGCAAATGCCTGTTGACTACAAGGAAGGGTATAAGATTTCTGGGTTAAAGTGCATCATCATCAAACTAGACAGTAAACAAACTCTTTTTTATCTTCCTCTGAATTATGTTATGCACCTGATAAAGTTTGGTCATGCCAGGATCTTTCACCTTTCCCCAGTGTTCCTCTTTAGATCTTCAGGCCAGCAGTCATTTTAATGCCCATGTGCTTCTCTGATTTGGGCCCAGAATCATTCTCAGGTGCAAAGACAATGAAAGTGTATTGGGTGTTTTTTCTCATGGATTGAGAAGCACCTCTGTACTGTGGTACCCTCTGGAGCCTCTCTTGTTGAAGGGAGCAGTGTCCCACCCTAGTTTTGCTTCTTTCAGGTTTTCCATCTGCCTAGCAAGATGACCAGAGCCTCCTTCCTTTATTGGCTTCTTGACCGTCTTCTAAGTAAATGTCATTGCCAGGTGTCAAGCCTGTCTTATAACTTGAAAACTATTTTTCAGAATTAGTTTTGAAGTAGTTCATCCCAGTAGGAAGAACAGGTAGATGCAGCTCCCACATGTGTCTCTCACACTAATTAGAACATGCAAGGACCTCTCTCACATGTATTTTAATACCTTTTGTTTCTTTGATATTTAACAGTGTGGCTGTAATGCTTATTCTAGTAGACAGATGTGATGAGCTTGATGTAAACACTGAACCTAGAAGAGTGGTGTGTTCCTACTTGACATTCCTGGCTTTGTGTTCTAATCAGCATGTTCTTGATCTCAATAGATTTGTTTAGTGAATGACCCCAGGCCCCAGCACAAGTACAACAGACTTTACACAGTGGACTACTTAAGCAATATGGTTGGAGGGAGAAAAACTCTGTATAACAACCAACCCATTGAATTCTTGAAAAAGATGGTTGCTGCCTCCATTAAAGATGGAGAGGTTGGTATTGTTTTTGTGTCTTCCACATTGGGGTTAAAACATTTTGGCTGGGTGCAGTGGCTCATACCTGTAATCCTAGCACTCTAGGAGGCCAAGGTGGGTGGATTGTTTGAGCTTGGGAGTTCAAGACCAGCCTGAACAAGAGCGAGACCCCGTCTCTACTAAAAATAGAAAGAAATTAGCTGGACAACTAAAAAGATATATATAGAAAAAATTAGCCGGGCATGGTGGCACATGCCTGTAGTCCCAGCAACTTGGGAGGCTAAGGCAGAAGGATTGCTTGAGCCCAGGAGTTTGAGGTTGCTGTGAGCTAAGCTGACACCATGGCACTCTAGCCCGGGCAACAGAGTGAGACTCTGTCTCAAAAAAAAACATCTTTTGGTGGCTCACGCCTGTAATCCTAGTACTCTGGGAGGCCGAGGCGGGCGGATCACTCGAGGTCAGGAGTTCAAAACCAGCCTGAGCAAGAGCAAGACCCCATCTCTACTATAAATAGAAAGAAATTAATTGGCCAACTAATATATATGGAAAAAATTAGCCGGGCATGGTGGCACATGCCTGTAGTCCCAGCTACTCGGGAGGCTGAGGCAGGAGGATCACTTGAGTCCAGGAGTTTGAGGTTGCTGTGAGCTAGGCTGATGCCACGGCACTCACTCTAGCCTGGGCAACAAAGTGAGACTCTGTCTCAAAAAAAAAAAAAAAAAAACACCTTTTACTTCTTTGGTGTAATAGGAAGATAGGGTTTATGTTGACTTACTTTCTTCCTCTTTCCTCTATTTCTAGGCTGTGTGGTTTGGCTGTGATGTTGGAAAATACTTCAATGGCAAGCTGGGCCTCAGTGACATGAATGTGTGAGTATAAGAAATTTAAAATAGAAAGGCATTTGTGAGAGTTTGCTTTTGGAGTGCAGTCTTGGTATGAAATGACTATGCTGAGGTTCATCCAAAGATTAAGGTTGGACTAAGCCTGAGTTTCTCTCTTGGCATGCTGTAGAGTTTGAGGGCTGATAGCAGAAACTGCACTTACTTGAATGCTCTAACCCAGGAAATCAATATCATATTTCATATCTGAGTAGAAATTGTTGAGTATTCCTAAAAACCCATTCTATATTAAAAAGACTGTTTAAAAAAATTGGGGCAAAAATAATTGGGCTGGGCACAGTGGCTCACGCCTGTAATCCTAGTGCTCTGGGAGGCCAAGGTGGGAGGATGGCTTGAGCTCAGGGGTTGGAGACCAGCCTGAGCAACAGCAAGACCCTATCTCTACTTAAAAAAATAGAAAAATTAGCCAGGCGTAGTGGCACATGCCTGTAGTCTTAGCTTCTCAGGAGGCTGAGGCAGGAGGATCACTGGAGCCCAAGAGTTTGAGGTTGCAGTGAGCTCCCTTGATGCCACTGCACTCTACCGAGGGTGACAGAGCAAGACTCTGTCTCGAAAAAAAATTTAAAAAACTGTTGATTACTGTGTAAGTTTGTTTAGTGTATTTGGGAATATAAGGAAAGATTTTCTAGAGCTCTTGTTTGCTATTTGATTCTTTTAAAACTGTTTATCTTATTAGCTGCCTTTGTATTTTGTCTTTATGACAAGTGGGATAATTTAAAGCATTCCTCCTGGTGTTATGAAAGGTCATTTGTGAACTAAATCATGTAAGATTCCTTGACTGTTAAAATATACCATTTTAGGGTGAATTATAAGTAATTTTATGTGTAGGGAGTTGAATAAATATCTTGATAGTTAATAAGAGAAAAATCTGCTAAAGGAGAGAATTAATGCTTTTTTAATTTTGAAAATATTCTCCAATATTTTTGGCATTGTTTATTGAAACTTCAGTCAACAGTGGCTTAAAGGTATTCAGTAACTGGTTGGTTAATTCAGCTCAAAAGAGATCATTTTTATAAGAAGTTACTTTAAAAGCTTTTTTTTTATTATTTTTCTAAGTTTTCTTGCCAAAATGACAATGCCAACTCATCTTGTCAGCCTTTGATATGGAGAATTTATATTTAATCATTTCATATTTTCCTTCATACTCTTGTAACACATAGAGCATGGAATTCCACTGAGAGATTAAGTTCTGCATGTACCATATTCTTTCTGAAGAGCTACAGCTAGAGCCCATATTTATTTGGAGCTGTTGAGTCCCTTCAATTTCTTCTGTGCTCCTTTTACAATCAGATGTCAGTTTTGCCCCATGATTATACTCCCTTCATTTTGTGCTGTCATTCTTTTTACAGCTATGACCATGAGTTAGTGTTCGGTGTCTCCTTGAAGAACATGAATAAAGCGGAGAGGTTGACTTTTGGTGAGTCACTTATGACCCACGCCATGGCCTTCACTGCTGTCTCAGAGAAGGTATGACCCTCAGCATGCCTACTGCAGTGTTTGCACAGATGGATCTACATTCTCCTGCAGACTGTTTATCCAACAGAGCTTCATTCATAGTGTACATGATTTCTGTTAAAAGTTAGCTTCCAAGTAAGACATTGTACCTGCGTCCCTTGGGGTTTGGCTACATGCTTAGAGGTAATAAAAATAGGAACTTTCCATGAGGAACAGAATTTATATCAGTAGGGAGTAAGGAAGTAACTGCTCTTCTGTAACTTTGAAAGGTCTTAGTATGAAGAGAAGTCAGCAAGGGAATTTGGGAAGTTCACTTCTATTTTATAAGGAAGATAACTTATATTTTCTAAGGAATTAAAATGTGCCCTGAAAGTGTTCATATCTTGGTGACCTATGTTCAGACTTACCTTCCTTTCATTTGTTGTTCAGATTCTTCTGCAGTAAAATGTCAGTAACTTGTGCATTCTCTGCCTATTATAAGATTTATGCAGAGCTTTAGGAAATTGGATGTAAATTATTTTGCATTTCCTATAAAATATTCTGAAAAGTATATTACTTTTTCTAGGACACAGTGTTGGAAACAATCGAAATTTTATCTTTCACAAATAAGCTTCCCACTTGCAGTCTATCGAATGGATATTTTATCCCCCATGCTGAGGGATCATAAGGAAGAGAAGACTTTGAAGTACTTTAATTCTCTACCACCACAAACAAAAATGTTCTTTCTAGCCTAATTACTGGAAATAAAGTCACAGAATAACTATCTTGTATACATCTTTTTAGAAAATAGTTTTGCTATCCTATCTACTAGATATGTGATCTTTGAAACATTTAGAAATATCCTAACATGTCATTATGCCATATTTTCTTAACTAGCCTAACCTAGAAGTCCTGATTTGTTTTTTTGTCCTCTTTAGGCAAAATTTTGAGTAGGATAGGATTTTCTCTCTGTACTTTTCTCTCATCTCTTCCAACTACTTCATTTGAAGGTGTCCTTTCAAGCCCACAGCATCCCAGATCCTTGTGCTCTCTACTATTCAAAACCTGATCTTAAGCCGGGCGCGGTGGCTCACGCCTGTAATCCTAGCACTCTGGGAGGCTGAGGTGGGCGGATTGCTCGAGGTCAGGAGTTCGAAACCAGCCTGAGCAAGAGCGAGACCCCGTCTCTACTATAAATAGAAAGAAATTAATTGGACAACTAAAATATATAGAAAAAAATTAGCCGGGCATGGTGGCACGTGCCTGTAGTCCCAGCTACTTGGGAGGCTGAGGCAGAAGGATCACTTGAGCCCAGGAGTTTGAGGTTGCTGTGAGCTAGGCTACGCCACTGCACTCACTCTAGCCTGGGCAACAAAGCGAGACTCTGTCTCAAAAAAAAAACCTGATCTTAAGGAAAGTCTAATTACGTTCATACAAATTACAAGACTGGGACTTTAAGAGTAGAACTCTGAGGTGTTCTCACTTTTATATGAAAACAAACACAGCATAGTGTAATAAGTGTCCTGAAATAATTAGACAGTCCTGTGTTGATATTCCTGCTCCTCATGTGGTTTTCATAAAGGTAAAGGTTGAGGTCTTATAAGCCAGTGAGCTGTTTTCATCATTCCATTCCTTGATACTCTCAGCTCTGTAGTTAGCAAGACTCTCACACCAAGAAACAGATTGCCAAGGGTTACCCAGAAGAATGTATGGAATATAGTTTGTACTATCTGTGTAGATCAGGAAAAGCCATTTCAAAATTGCAAAAGGTGATTTAAAAGTTTTGTCACCCCAGTTTAACAAAATTCTCATATTTGAATTATAAACAAAACAAAATTAAGTTATAAGAAGTTATCTTAAATAAGGGTGCCTTTTTGACATCAGAAGCAAAACATTAGTAGGAATTTTTCATGAATAAACTACCTAGGAATTTGTTCATATGTATATTTGGACCTGCTATATTGTAAAATTCAGTGGATTTACAACTAAACTAAAGCTCCTTAAATTAAACTTTTAAACTATATAGGGAGTTATAAAAAAAAAAAAAAACAAGAATATTTGGTATAATTTCCAAGAGAAGTTCAGCATTTTATTATTTTTCCATCTCTATATTATAGAGTATTTATATTTTTCAGAAATAAAAATAGTGAATACTTCATGTCATTTTCTCTGGAACATCCGTTCTTTGATTGGCATGGTTTATTTCCTCAGGGAAATGGAGCTACCTTACATGCTAATAGTATAAAAGATAATTTATATTATCATAACTGGAATTTTATATTGAAATTTTTCTCTTTCTTCTACTTAGAGTTTTCGACCACTAAAACTAGTTTGAACTACATTTGAGTAATAATACAGAGGTAAATGCATACTAATGGCTATATTTCTTCAGTATTCTTATAGCTTATTTCATGGAATAATCTATAAGTGGGGACCAGGTATTATTCTATAATTGTAAATGACCCAGAGAATAACTTGATCTAGGTCACTGCAGGAATTCCTTGGCAAAGAAAAGAAGAGGAAACATTTTCAGACTTACTATAATAAGCAAATTACTTTAGGTTACATAAATTTTAACAGTGATATTTAAAAGGAAAGTAAAGATGGACTACAATGAGGGAAATAGAAAAACCATAACAGACATTTAATCTACCAGCTCTGGAATGTATAGTTTAATGACATGGTTTTGAAGGTGTCTGGGGCTAAGAGTAAGGGTTAGTACAGGTAAGGGTGTTTGAAACTTGTGGATTTGTTGTTTGTTGGCTGTTTCTGAGACAGAAAATTACTGACATCCAAGAAAACTGACAAGAGTAGAGTGTACAGGTTAGCAGAGCCAATGGGAACCAAATCCCATATAAACGAAACTCATCATGCAGTTATATGTAAGTGGGAGCTGACAGATGAAATCATTAGGAGATAGTACAGGGGTCAGTGCTTTTCTCAGGCTACAAAGATTTAAGTTGTTTTGACATCAGCAAATGTCCTGGGTAAACACAAAAGAGAAAAGTCTTTTCCGAAATGAAGCCTTCCTCTTGTCCCTCTCTGTGTCACAATAGTAGAGTCTAGAAGGTTATGATGATGAGTATCACTGTCCCTTTAAGAAGATGAAAATTGAGCTTATTTTATTAATGAAGATAGAAGAGGGAGAACAGTAGAAATGTCTGGCTTTTGTTTATGAAATGGTCTTTTTACTTTTGCTTTGCCATTCAATCTCTATTGTGTTAAATTCAATATTTGTGTAACTGAATCAGTGAAAGAACACATTTGGAGAGTATCATTACTTGGTTTCCCTAAGTAGAAAATCAAGCAGTGTGATGAGAATGTGGTTTTTTTGTTTTGTTTTTTTAAAAAGGCATCCCATTCTATTTATTTTTTGAATGATTCTAAGACCTGGTCAGAGTTTGTTTTGTTTTGTTTCGTTTTTTAAAAAACAAAACAAACTCTGACCAGGTCTTAGAATCATTCCTAAAATAAATAGGATGGGATGCCTTTGCAAGCAATACTCACTCATTTAAAGCAAGAGTCCCTGGCTTCAAATGGTGTTCACTGCTTTTAGTGGTTTATATTTTGTTTTTCTTAGCCAAGTAGCATTTTATATGCTTACTTTCTGTATAGAATAGAATGTAAAGGAGAAGATAATATTTATTGCTTTGTTAGCTTTATTGTATTTTTACCTTGTGGGATTCAAATTCCACTACTATTGGCTATCCTTTTAGTGATAGTAGGAAATATATAGCCCTGATCGTGTACATCATGCCTGTATAGAGCAGGCTATTTATTCTAAGTGGCTGCAGAAGAACTAAATCTACATGACACCTCAGCAGGGAGAATGCTTTCAGACAATACATGATTATCCACTTTTTTGCAGGATGATCAGGGTTGTGCATTCGTGAAATGGAGAGTGGAGAATTCATGGGGTGAAGACCATGGCCACAAAGGTGAGCTTAATTTGGTATTACTAACTCCAGGTAACTGGGGTCTGCTTATTCTGCCTCTCGGGTGAAAAGCTGCTCTAGTGTGGAGGATTTTTCAGTAATTGATCCCATTGATTAGACTATTCTACAGAAAAATCTCTGAGAATCAGGTTTGCTCCCAAGATTCCCCAGACCAATATGGCACGCCTAAACCCCCTGCTTGATTCTGAGTCCAATATCCGTGCTAAGACCAATATATGCTGGCATTCGTTCCAAACCATGCTGAAGCTTTGTACCAGAATCACTTGACCAGATGAGGAGGTTGGATGCCCTTTGCCAGGATGCTTGCTATATTGCTTTCGGTGTATTTTCATCTACTGCACCAGTGCTCTAGAAAGTTGGAAGCCTTCTGAGTGGGAGAATGGGATTGGCAGGAAAACTTTCTTTAGGCATTTGTTAAAGACTCCTTAGAAGTTATGATGCCTAAAGAGGAAGACAACACTTTGGTTACCATTTAGAACTTTTTTACACTGACAAATCAAAACCTTTGCAGAAGTCATGAGTAAATTATAGTGACTAGGCTAAACAAAATCACACAGGTTAATATATGAATTGTAGAAAAAATAAAAAATATAAAGAAAATAAAAGTCTATAATAATCTGACCACCCAGAGATCATCGTTGATTAATAGTTTCGGGTATAGTCTTACAAACTTTTATGCTTTAATTTTTAGGGTTTCAAACCAAAAGTGGCAACTACCATGGTGTATGTGTACATGTGAGCATGTGAATATATGCATGTGTGCTATGTGCTGGCAGTATTTTGTAACCAGCTCTTTCCCAGAGTCTATGTTTCTTACTTTTAGCCAATGAATTCTAGCTAGGAAAAAACACATTAACCACAACTTACTAGACTAATTAGTAGACTTGGAGGAATAGGGGGTGGGTAGGGAAGCCAGAGAAGAGAGATACACAGACACTTAGAACTAAACGTCTACATACTTTTCACCCAACAGGAATTAGCCAGACCATTTCTTGAGAGAAAGAGAGCAGACAGACAGACAGACACATAAGAAGAGAAAAGAAAAAAAAAAAAAGTAGAGATCAGCAACTCTTTTGAGTAGTGATTTTCCAACTATGTTCCTCAGAGCCCTAGCATTTTCAAGGGTAAAAGGTAGAGAAGGAGGTATGGAGAGTTGGAAGTAAGCATGTGGGACTTCCATAGCTTATATTTGAAAACTACTGTCTTAGAAGAGCCCATTACACTGAGTTTTGAACTTGACAAGACTTTGGTATGCTGACTGAACAGCATAGACTGGTATATGATGGCCAAAGTCTGAAGGCCATTAATCTGTCATCCCAGGTCTTTTCATCTCCCCATGAATATAATCATTGATGGATTTTGGCTAACTGTCCCTGGGTTCTGCTGTGAAACTCAGCAGCTCAGTGTTTATATATAAACAAATGTAAGTGCTATTAGTATATTTCTCTTCATCATCAAATAGTTCCATGTCCCCCTTCTGTGATTCCATAATTGTTCTGTGATTACAGGGGTCTATTATAAATTAGAATGCAACATTTTTTAAGTTAATTAATTAAATTTTTTATCTGTGGGGAAGTGAGGTTCAATTTTCATTTGATTTCTTTTTCTTTTTTGAGATAGAGTCACTCTGTCGCCCTGGATAGAGTGCAGCGGTGTCATCACAGCTCACTGCAACCTCAAACTCCTGGACTCAAGCAATCCTCCTGCTTGAGTAGGAGGGACTAGTAGCCTCCCGAGTAGCTGGGACTATAGGTGCACACGATGATGCCCTGCTAATTTTTCTATATTTGGTAGAGACAAGATCTCACTCTTGCTCAGACTGGTCTCAAACTCCTGAGCTCAAGCAATCCTCCTGCCACAGCCTCCCTGAGTGCTAGGAATTATAAGGCATGAGCCACCGTAACTGGCCTGCAACATTTTGAAATTGGTGATTTTTTAATAGGAGAATTTCATTTTAAGACAAATGTACATTTGGAGTCAGAGAGGAGTTTAACCCCAGCAAAACTAGCAGAAAGATTAAAAATAACTCATGGTTTAGTAATATCTGTAAATCGGTGATAGTCAAGACATAGATGTTTGTCTTAAATTGGAAAGATTTGATTATTTGTAGCAAACATAAGATACTGGGTTAAAATTGTTTTTCTATTGTTTCAGATGAACCTTTGTAGCTTCTGTTTCATTTCTGGTCTAATTTGGTTCCTGTATGGATTTGTTATCATATAGGTTAGCATCTAGGAAAAGGACTAAAGTTATGGTTTGTTTAGATGAGCTTGGATCCATTGGCTTGCTTTTTTTTATATTTTTCCATCTGTAACAGTCACTCAGTTTGTAGATAGTAGTGATATCCATTTAAGAGAGGACAAACACTTGTAAATTCAGGGAAATGCTCCGTGTTCTATGTAGTGTGAATTATTGTCTTTTAATACTCTGAACCTAAATACTTGCTCTTACAGAGAATTCTGGACCACTTTGGTATTTTTTTTTTCATTTAACTTTACCCATTTACTCCTACTCAGTAAAAGTTTTGCCTCTGCTGACTTACTCATTCCTTTATTATGCTGAGAAAAGTGAGGTCTTGATCCCTATAATCTGCCTGTTATCCTTCCCAATGAAATCTGTAGGTATCTAGTAAAGATTAAACTAACTTTTTTGTTGTTCTCAAATAACTGAAATGTTTGAGATTATAAAGAGCAAAGCATTTCAGTAGAGAGCCAAAAGATAAGAAATTGAACTGGAGTGGAGTTGGGAATAGTTCATTCAAAGCCAAAATAAATTATTCTCATGTATTTCTTGGTAATGTTCTTTCTGACTTAACAGGAAGGAAGGAAAGAAAACATGATCTAATTTAATTGGCACACTTGGCCTGACCTTAGGAGAGCATGTAGTATGTTATGATATTGGCAATGTGTGTTTACCTCAGCAGAGCCTTCTTGTCTGTCATCCTGTTGGACACTGGCTGGCACGTCCAAGGCAGGACCTCTGTTTATGCTTTCAGGAGACATGACAACCTTAAGAAGCATTACTAGGATTTTGTTTCTGTAGATAACATTGTTAACAGTTTGTTACTATTCTATTCGGGATTTCTGTCTGTTAAGATTGATGTTTGTGAAAAATAGTGTTGATAATATAAGCTGAAGATAACAGAGCAGAGATACCTGGGCAAGCTGCCCTTGTCCTCTGCCCAGCCCTCACTTTGGTCCTCCCCGTGGCATGTTCATGGCCTTCCTACCCAGAGGCTAGTATGTAAATCAAATACTGACTGTTTCACAAATTGGAGAGAGGGTTCCTTCTGACCAGGAGAGACATAAAAAGAGCAATTAGTTTTTGCCTTACTTTTGAGTTACTTCATGTTGGTGAATTATAGTATTCATAGTCAGCTATACTGAAAATTGGATACACATCTAACATGTACACCAACATGGATTCTTTACTCCCCTGCTTCTTAAAATACTTGACTATGCATTTTGTACCTTATTTATGGATCATATCAGAAATGGATTTCACAGTTAGATGAGGGAACAGACCTTGGAATTTGTATATTTTCATTTTGAAAAGTTTATAGAATAAAATATTTTGTAAAATATTTAAGAATATAAAATAGAGAAAATACCTTTGTTTCTCTCATTCTTTCTTAGAAATTCATCTGAGAAGCTAAATCTTTAAGCCAAAGTGGCCTGCAGGTCCCCTAGCTAATAAATAGTAGAACCAGAATTATAACCCAGATAGTCTGACACCAGAGCCAATTTTCTTAACCATTAAACTGTACTTTCTCTCAATTTTCTCTGTTCTAGTAGCATCTAGTCCACTTACGGAAATAACAGGTCAGTTCATGGTCATTGGTGACCAGAAACAGTAGCTGAGGGCAATAAAACTGGCAATGTCACGTAAATGTCTGAAGTCAGAAGAAAAGGCTCTTAGTGCATCATTTATGGCTTGGAAGCTGAATAAGGAGCAGAGTGGAGCATCTTGTGAGGGTTTGTGTCCAGCATTAGCACTTTGTGAGTTCGGCAAGTAAGAAACTGTGTGCGGCCATCCAAAATTTCCCTGAATTATTTTGTCCGTGGTGCTTTATAACAACAAGGTTTTTTGATTTTTATAGTGGACACACTATACTTTTGGACACACTTAACTTTTTATAGTGGACAATTTCAAACATTTTAAGTAAACAATAGAATTAAGGACACCCCAATATGCCTATTACCCAGCTTCAATAATTATCAACATTCTTCCATGCATATAACAATGTTTTTGATAGTCAATAAATTAAATTCTTGGATGGTCTCTCTAATCAACCAGTCTTGCTATGGAACTTTTACTTCTTTGTGATTGTTTCATTTAGTCACGAAATTATATTCCAGTTCTAAAGCCCTGATATAGCAGAGGTCTGAATGTGTAATTATCATAACATAGTTCTTAATGCTTATTTAGTCTAGTTTCTCAATATGCTAAGTAATACAACTTTTAAGTGAGGGTAAGGAGAATATTATTTTCTAATTCTGCAATGTTCACTAGAGGAAAATATTTATCTTCTATAAATTTTGTCTCCTTGTTTTCATTTTGAACCAAGGTAAGTTTTTCATTTTTCAAATTACTTTTGTGCCTTTCAGATGCATGATCATTTGAAATTGTTTTTAACCCACATTTTTCATCTTTCTTACAAATGAGCTTCTCTGTTCCTGATTTCATTTTAATAAAATTTTCAGACTTCCTCCTAAAAGGAGCCTCTTGGTGATTTCAGTTAAAGAGATTTTGGCATGTTAGAGATTAATCTGGAAAGAAATTTATGTGACCAGTTCAGATTATATCTGGATTTCTGCTGCTTTCTAAAAACCAATATTACAACCTTTAATTGCCTCACCCACCAAACTATATCACATGTGATTTTGGAGATAGTATGTTCAAAGTTAGGCATAAAACTCATCATTTTCTTCACATGTTGTATAGTGGAACCAGCCAGGTGAGTTGTGGATACATTTTTCAAA